CGCGAAGACGGTGCAACGCGACTCACGTATACTGCAACAAGACTGTGCAATATAGCATATGTCCACACTAGTGCAGACATGTGACGCTTAAGACAAAACTGTTTGTACTACGCTAACATTCCCAAAGTCATTTTTTTGAAAGTCTTTAACGGACAAAGCGACGGGAGGAGAATCACGAGTTTTAATGAAATACAGCGCAACGAAAAAGAGCACAAGCGGTCCAAGTTCCACCTGTGCCCCTTGCAGGTGGGGCTAGTGCGCAGATCCCATGCCATGCGATCACTGAGGGCTCCCGCGGCAGGTCCTTTTTCCCATGCCATAATCGAGACTGGGATCATCGATTACGTCTAGAGCGCCTTCATTGTAGGTTAATTATTATCTCTTTTACGGGGCATGAAGGGTATGCTCGTGCCGCCTCACAGACCCAACATTTTAGAGACTATGCACGTTCGGGTGTTCTGCAAAGGGGGGTGGCATCTTCCTGACCAACGCGAAGACTGGTCCTGAAGGGAAGACACCGCTGATCACGCGGCTAGGCATTTGCGCTTACGTTGATGACGACGCTGCCATCACCAACGAAGCCGCACGCACAACCGACCTACCAGTGCGATGCCACCCGGCTTGCCCAACCTCACTCTGTGCTTCTGGACCTAGCCGCCATGATCAGGTCGAAAGGTATAGATAACTGGAAAGCTGTCAACAGAGTCCCATTCATGGGCACTTTTTGTTGCGATCCCTCCCCAAGAAGAGTGCGCACTTCCTGGAACAGATGCTCCGCAACTGCGGAGGAAGGAGTGCAGTGGAAGTGGAAAGAAACATATGTGCTTGCAGAGCTTTTGCTTTTGTGTCTCTTCTTACGAAAGCTAGCCGCAGGCTGTTCGGCCTGCATACCATACTGGGTGAATCTTTCAAAGGTCTGGAGGGTACCAACGGCTATGGAGCCAGTGGGGAGTGCCCAGTGTTTCAGAACAGACTCTGTCGTGCGGCCACCATGCCACAGGTTTAGAGAAGAAATCACACGTCTTTGGTTTCTCCTGTTGATTTGTTTTCATTTCTTTTCAACTTTCAATATGTCGATTTTAGCCTTTTTTTCATAGCCTCCATGGGAATCTTGGCGCGGCGGAGAGGCGCAACCAACAGATGGAGGAGGAACAGAACCGCCTGAAGTGGGAGAACAAGGACCTGCGGACACGCCTAACTTGCGCGGAGACGCTCCGAAGGCAAAATGGCGCCACCACGTGCCGAGGCCCCGCCTGGAAGCCCGAGGGTTGCTGCAAGCAGCAGGACGGCTTCTGAGTTGGAAGATGGCTTGGAACAGGATCGGCAGAAGCTTTGGAGCCGTGCAAAATGAAAATGACGAGTTGGATCATTCCGCCTCGGATCAGTGTTGCTCACTTCTTGTGCAGATTGAAAAGGTGGATGACATCCTGGCCCCTCTTCCAAGAATTCTTGAGGACGTCTTCCGCATGAAAGTCAAGAAGGAAGAGGAACGGAATCCACAAAAGCCAGAGAAGGCAATCGAGATCCGGCGTGATTCGACGACAGTGTATTATCACTCTACCGTGATCAACGGTGGAGATTGCAATTGTCCCATCACTTTTGGAGGTGAAGTTTGGAAAGAAGCCCAGGAACAAAGTGTCAGGGCTGCCAATGCGACTGTGGAAGGACTGGCTTTGCTGCCACCCTAGTGCAGACATGTGACGCTTAAGACGAAACTGTTTGTACTACGCTAACATTCCCAAAGTCACTATTTTGAAAGTCTAACGGACAAAGCGACGGGAGGAGAATCACGAGTTTTAATGAAATAAAGCACAACGAAAAAGAGCACAAGCGGTCCAAGTTCCACCTGTGCCCCTTGCAGGTGGGGCCAGTACGCAGATCCCATGCCATGCGATCACTGAGGGCTCCCGCGGCAGGTCCTTTTCCCATGCCATAATCGAGACTGGGACAACTGAGTCTCATTCATGGGCACTTTTTGTTGCGACCCCTCCCAAGAAGAGTGCGCACTTCCTGGAACAAGAATCCCCACGGCGGAGAGGCGCAACCAACAGATGGAGGAGGAACAGAACCGCCTGAAGTGGGAGAACAAGGACCTGCAGACACGCCTAACTTGCGCGGAGACGCTGTGAAGGCAAAATGGCGCCACTACACGCCGAGGCCCGCCTGGAAGCCCGAGGGTTGCTGCAGGGCCGAACTGCAGTGAGAGCCTTCACCAGATTGCTCACCACAGGCCTTTTTGATAGGCGAAACGTTTCGGCAGGACCCAACAACAGCCTTCATCCGGAAGCGTTCTTTTCGACAAGCATGCAATCGAACCGCTCGACATGGCACCACCATCCAAGGGAATACCACACACCTTGCATAGTCTGGGCTTGAGACTTTTCGACTGCACATACCTGTCCTGCCGCCACGAGGCACTCTAAGCAACGTCATGATGCAGCTGATTGCCTTGAACTGTTTTTCGAATCACTTTCGAACATTCACGAATTGGGAAAATCACATCACGTATTGCTTTTGCCTTCACCATGTCTATCACATCCGATAAACTCTCCAAAGAATTCCGTCCGCGCTATGATTTTCCACGTGTGGCCAATGCCAATCTGCATACATTTCATACTCCCTTGATCAGCTCGTTGCCTTTGTTTGGCCATCGTAAAAATGCGCTCAAACGACCGAAGGCTGTCACACTTGCTCAACGAGAACAAGGCCATCATGCCAAGTTAGCCGGATCTTCGACCTGGCAACGATTTGCACAAGCCGCTGTCCAGACCATTGATCGACCCTGGAGCTAGCCGAATGCCGAGTTTCTTGAACAACCACACTTGAGCCTTCGTCAACAGGTTGATGCTCATTTTCCACAGAAGGCTGCCAAGCAACCAGATTGGCTTGTCATGGAATCATCAACTACTCACAAATGGCAGATTTGGTCCCAATTCAAAACTCATGCGGACTTTGATTGCAGTCATTGCACGCACGCCGTGCCCAGGAATGGAGATGCAGGAAGCCTCTGAAGCCGCGTCATGTCATGACACATACAAAGCCTACCAACTAATAAACAGCCTTGCTCCCAAAACAGTTCACAAGCGCATCCAGCTTCGAGACAAACTAGCTAACCCACTGGGCCCATTGGAAGCCCTTGCCTAGTTGACAAGCTTTGTTCGCTCATCGTGGACACACCCATCACAGCCGGGTGTGCCGCCTCGAGTTCGTAAACCGCTGGAGGCCACTGCCAGTGGATGACATGCCGTTTGATGTTCACCAACTAGCTAAAGCCATCAGCCGAATCAAGTGGTCCAAGGCTGTTGCTTCCCCGTATGCACCTGGTGACTCCTTTGAGCCTTTTACTGACATTTTGGCCCCCAGACGTTTGAGACGCTGCACCATTGGTGGGACAACAACCTCCCTACCTGCCTCAGACTTGGAAGGACAGTTGGCTTGTTTTGCTAACTAAACCAAATAAGCCCCCTCATTGCCCAGCTCACCTTCGACCCCTCGCATTGCAAGAACCCCTGAGGCAAAGTGTCCTGACGCTGCTTGCCAAGCAATTGAGACATCATGCATTTGTTGCCCTTAGTCAACTGCCGCAGTGGGCCTAAGCCTATGTCCAAGGAAGGGGCGCCGGTGATGCACTAGCTCGCGTGGCCAAGCACTGCCACGAGGTTCGTGCCATGCTGCAAGGCCAGCTCAACGCACACCTCATGTCATAGCTGCTGGACTTCCTGTGATGCCCCTTTGTGGAGGGCTCCAACTGTTCATTGACCTAATGACACGGTTCCCCAAGAATTCATTTTTGAAAGCCGAGACGCCCTGCAGGTGCCACCCCTGTTGCAAGCCATTGCTTGAATGGCATAGTGACACAAATTACATCGTCCAATCCGGCTCGTTTGTTGATTCGATCCCCACCAAGATTGGCAAAGGCAAGGCTGTACCTGTGCACCTGCCCTTAAGAGTGTTGTCATGTGGCACCTGCTGTGCAGATGTGTTGACAGATTTGGTGATTGCCTCATCTTGTACGCTGATGACTTTCATGCTTGTGACACTTTCAATAGTGAAGCTAGTCTGCTGCAAAGCCTGACTCGTTTGGGTGCGCTCCTGGACCTAATCTCCGACATTGGTCTGCAGATCAACCTGTCGAAAACGCAGATAATTTTGGCCCTGAAGGGATCTAAGCAGAACCAGATCCTTGCCAGATCGTTGGTACATCCCCTTGCCTGGCCAAAATGGTCGGTCGTACCAGATTCGTCTTGTGAAGCAAGCTGTTTACTTAGGTATCATAGTCAGCCACAAACCTTTTCAAGATGTCATTGTGGATTCCCGCAGCTTCAGTGCTGCGCAGCTGAGTCTTTGATGAGGACGCTTGAATGGTGTCAGCTTCCTCTTTTGGACCATCAAACCCGCTTCATGTCACCACCTCGACCGTTGAAGTCTGGGAAAAGGGCGGCCCTCACTGTTTGCTGACTTTCTACTGGATTGAAGAACTAGATTGGTCGCAGGTGACCTTGCAAGACTGCATTTCTTCCTGGATCACACATTATGGCATGAAGTCTGCCTACTATGTGAATGCCCCGTGTTCATCAATGGTGAAAGTCCGATCCGCATGGCAGAGTATCAGGTGATCCGTCTCCTCTGCCACACAGGTGATCGCTCAGGAGGACACTATTGGTCACTCTTGAAGCTCCCCACTGCTGGCTGGCTGGAAAAGAACGATGATCACGTGTTCACCGACACCTTTGTGATCTTTCTGACGTGTGTTGAGGACCCCCGTCCATCGCAGCAGCTGGAACAACTGCTCCTGATGTTGAAAGCCTGAGTGACCGACCCTGGACACTTTTTTGGGCCAGAAACACCATGGCATTTGCACAAAGCTTCCGGCTCCCATAACAAAGAATGGGATGCCCCCACAAGACGACTCGGCGTCCGACAAAGACACCAAAAAAACAATCCATCCATCCGCCATCCATCCATCCATCCATCTCCCAGTCTCCGCCAGTTTCTCCCAGGACTTTGACAAGTGCAGCTGCCGGTGCTGTCAAGCGACTGAGCGGAAAGACCAAGAAGTGGAACGCAGTTCCTACGGGCCCCTCGGCGACAGACAGCGGGGTTTGCTGGTGGGCGTTTCTTTGTGCGGCGGCGCCGGGGGGCCGGAGAAAAGGCCTAAATTATATGTTCACAATGATCCATGGGAGGTTCAACATGTGTATTATGATGGTATTAGAACGTAACAATATGTAATGTATTGGTTGTTTGTGTTTTTGACTTGCCATGTTTGTTGGTTCTGTTCTTCCAAGATTGGTTTCTTGGAGTGTTCATTCCCAACAATCCAGCCCCGCATCTACAAGACCAGCTGTGCTGTCGGCTGATTCGGCGTGTTCGGGTCACGGGCACCACGGTACCGATTTCCGGTTCTTCCCCTGGTGTGAATCAAGCTCGCTGGCTCGCTCGGAGAGTGGTCAGGCCAACCATCGCGCACCTGGCGGGGTCGCGACGGGTCACCGAAGCCGCCGCAGGTCGTTGCTGACGCACAAGTGCGTCCACCCGTACCCAGCCACTGAGAAGTGCCCCGCCGAGTGCACGGCCAGTCATCGCCTCGAGGTGGGGGGTGGGATGAGTTCGGGGTGGTTTGGGTGATGTAACATCCCCTCAACGGATGTGAATCCCCTGAAACTGGGGATGTGATTTTTCCTGATAGTTTCCATCTTTTTTGAAGGTTTTTTGTTTGTTCCTGGCATTTCTGCTCTGGCATGTGCAGGGTGAAGAAAACGCGGTCGGATCAGATCGGAATAGGATGAGAGATGATGTGAGGTCACGTGATCCTTGCCCGGCCCGAGACCAAGCGAATCCGATTGAAACTAAAGATGTTAATTATGGAAGATCAACATGTAGCATCGACCATGTTTGGAAAACACTTCATTACTGTACCTGAACCTTCAAACAGATGTGTAGGGTGTCCATTGGAGACCCTTGGAAGGTGCTGTTAGGGACGTTTGCAAACACCGCCAGGCTGCACAAACCGCTGCGAAGGGCGTCCTGGACTACGGTCGTTTCTGCTTCCATGCTTGTACGCCGACGGTGATGGTCAACGGATCGGGACACTCAGATGGAGCACAGAAGCTGGGAGACGCTGGGAGCCATGGTCCAATAGGAGACACATCCATGATTTGTTTTCTTTTTAGGCACTAAGAAAGCGATCTTAAAATGGTATAATAGCACCTTTGTACAACCTCATATCCTCCATCCTCTTCCAAATGCAGCTGACCAGTTGCGTTGCCAGGTTTCGTGACAGCCCGCACTCGTCCGGACGATGTTTCTCGAAAACCGGTTCGTTCGGAGTGCCTCCGTCAGGCCCGAAGGGAAAGGGTTTTCCTTCCAGTTCGATGTGGCAAAAAAGACCAACAGAGGCCCTGGAAGTCAAGTCGACCATGTTTAAAATGATTGATCTGGTGACTCGTAGTGTAAAACCCTTAGTAAAACAGCTCGGTGGTTCGGGTTTCAGGCTATTAAAACAATGGTGGTTCGACTTCTAGGGAGGTAGGTCAGAAGCCGCAGGTGACGGGGCTATCCTAGTTCCGTCAACCTCTGGTACCCTGGAAGTCAAAGACGGTTTCTAAAATGGTTGATCCATGTTGATTTGGTTTAGTACTTGTGGGGTAAAGGAGATGTTCAGTAAAGGCGATCAAACAAATGGTGTTTTGACTTCCACGGTATCGACTTTGGACTTCTGGGGGAAGTTTGGACAAAAGCACATTGATCTTGGAGGTGATTCCATCGTCCTTGTCTTCTCCTGAAAAGCGCGGGAAAAATGGAACCGCTGCAAGAACATGAAGCTTAAACTCCAACCAGTTCATGAAGCTTAAACTCCTACTGAGTCCTGGTTTTGCTTATTATTTGAGGTGTGTTTGTTTCCTTATTTCGTCCATGACATGTCGTTTTTTTCTTTCCCCAGCTCCTTCGAGTGGAGCGATGGCGTTCCCATGTCGTTCCCATGTGGTTCTCTTGGTCCTTTGACTCGGCAGAATTCGATCCCGGACTTTTGCGCAGTCAGAGAGGCCCTCGTGAGGCCCTCGTGACCACCGGGCAACTCCCGGACTGTGCAGGTGGCACCTGCTCAACGCCCGAGGAGGCCGCAGCGCTCCGGGCCGCCGCGGCGGGGAACGCGGCGAGGAACGCGGCGGAGGCATGGCATCCGGCAGACATGAAACTTGGCCCAAGACCTTTCAACAAATGGCAGGTTGACCTGGTCTGGTGTTGTAGTGGTTGACCTGGTGTTGTAGTGGTTGACCTGGTGCTGTAGTGTAATATCCACTTTGTAAAGGTTGGGATTCGGACAGGAATCGTACGGTTGGGATGAGTTGGGTGAAGTTGTTTTTTCTTGAGGAAACCCATGGTTCAGAAAAGCCATGGGACGATATTTTGACCGACTGAAGTAAAGGAACTTCCTAGACTCGGGTCACCTAGTCAGACCATTTGTTTAATGGTCGACTTGACTCCCAGGGTGCAGATATAGGTTGAACTGCATGCCTCAAGCTTCCGCAGTTGACTACACGTCGTACGTAAGTACTACGCCAGCACCGCAGTTCGGCTGCGCCATCCTTGGTGCCGAACTCCCTGGTGCTGGTCGTACTCTTCAAATGAGGAGGTGTATGAAGCAAGAGTCTACAGTAGTTGGTTGGTGGATCTCAGTTGGAAGAGTCTTCAAGGGGTCAAGCCATGGTTTACCGTTCATGAACTTTCCATGTTCGTCACTTCGATGTAGAGTACGTTTCATTAAGTGATTCAAAAAAAAAACAATCACACAGTTTCAGCCCTCAAAGCATACAGTTTCTTGCCTCATGAAACTATAAAGGTTTGGCCGGAAGAACTACAGCTGTTGGGGTTTTCCCATGCCAGCAGGAGCTCAACCAAAACAGTACGCATTGCAGCAACAGGCACTGGCAAGCAGTTCTTGCCAACTTTTCGTCATGAGGTATGGGATGAAGATTCCAGCAACGATGCAATAGGAATGCTGCTGCAATGCAGGATAACCTTGAAGCAGGAATCAGGAAGTAGGAGAAACCTTTATTACACAGCTGGAGAGAAAATGTCTTAGACTTTGGCACTCCAAATGTTCTCTCCATGCAGCCCCCCGTGTGTTTTCCACAGAACACTCTCCATGTAGTTGGTTGGGTCAGCTGCCAGCTGCCTCCGCTTATAGTGGTTTCAGAGTAGATGGCACAAGATGCCCCCGTTGGGTGGTTTATGTGGACCCCCCCTCTAACACATCGAAACCTTTGCAACTGTTCGCAGCAGAGGCAGACATATTGATATCCAGGCTCATCTAGGTCCGCCCATAGACTCAGGAAGATCTCTGAGGAGCCGCAGCTGGCCGCTGCACCCGCGCCTGCGCCTGCACCTGTGAAGCCAGTGGAAGAGGAGAAGGAGGTGAAGAAGGCCGTGGATGGAGCCGTGGGGGGGGGGGCTGGCTTTGGAAGTTGCACAGCGAAACGCTCCATCACCGGGACTCCGATGTTTCAATCATTTCAGTCGGCTACTGACTTGAGTTGTACATATAAGGATGTTGTCTACCCTAGCCTTCAAAGACCATTAAAAGACCGGTTGAGCTGGTGGTGTAGTGTAAAAATCCTTAGTAAAACAATGGTTCTTTGGGATTCAGACCATTAAAACCAATGGTTGGGAATGAATCCAAACTGGTCCTAAAACAATGGTAGCATTTGGACTACCGCACAACGCCAGGTGAATTAAAACACACCGTATCTCATGATGGTATACTATGTCAAACCGTTCAATCTTCACCCTAGAAGTGGAACCACCATTGTTTTAATAGCCGTTGCCGAACATCCATTGTTCTTAAAATGGTATTTGACTTCTAGGGTTCACCTTCTCGTACATTGTTGTCGATGTTTGCTGCTTGTGAAAACTAAAAGTCCACGTGCGCAGTCACGTAAGCTAAGGGGTGCGGACTCCATGGAGGAAGACGGGCTTAGGGGTGTCCCGAACCTCACATCCACGGACCCTGGATGGGACGAGCCACACCACCCCGACATGTGACTGCCGGTATATAGTATAAATTGAACTACATTAGTCTTTGGATGACCGTCATCAGTGCGGAATGCGGAAGGCCCAGCTGGAAGGCCCAGCCACAGAACCGTCCACACTGCCTCGGCCAGATCACTTGGGACCTCCGAAACATCCGCGCGCAGCGCGCCCGCGCCGAGCGCTACGCCGCGGACGCGCGAGCGGCCTATGCGGCGGAGCAAGTGAAGTTGCACACGCACGCGACTCGGAGGTTTGAAGTCGCCAGGGGGGCATGGGGTCACGGGGGTCACGGATAGCTGAAATTCCAGCTTAAGCTGGTTTGTATCATGAAGGTTATGAGTGGGGTGGAGTAAGAAGCATGCTTGGTCATCAAAACTGCTGTGAAGCAACACAGCCATCCACAGGGAGAGTCTTACGGACCCATCTCGGAGCCGCCAGGGCCGGAAGCCTTCGAGGCTCGGAAGCCTTCGACTTGGTCTTATGCAGGAGACTCCACTTACGGCCCTCTCCTCCCGGTGGCCGCTGGGTGAAGAACCGACCAAAACCACGGACACGGACGTGGCACCGTGGCGTGGCACACGACGGTTTTTCCGGTGGCTCAGGAGATCAAGAGCACCGTGAAGATGCTGGATCGCGTGAAGTGCCTGGGCCGATGAGAGTGGGACAGTGCAAACCTGCGGCATGGAAGAACGTCATCGAAGTACATTAAGTTGAAACGGGGAAGCACACAGAGCCTGTATCTTATTCATTGGCCATCGCTTGGAGGCCATCGCTCGCACGTTGGAGGCCATTCTTAGTGGGTTGGAGTCGGAGGCCATTGCTATTAGGTTAGGAGGCCATCGCTATTCGGTTGGAGGCTATTGCTACTAGGTTGTGGGCCAGCGCTATTAGGTTGGAGGCCATCGCTATTAGGTTGGAAGCCATCGCTATTAAGTTGGAGGCCACTGCTATTAGGTGGGAGACCATCGCTGTTTTTGTGGGAGGCCAAAGCTATTAGGTTGGAGGCCATCGCTATTAGGTTGGAGACCATCGCTATTAGGTTGGAGGCCATCGCTAGTCTTTGTCTTATTCATTGGCCATCGCTATTAGGTTGGAGGCCATTTGCTAGTAGGTGGAGTTAAAGCCCGTATCTTATTAATTGCATCATGTGGCAGGGACTTTTTTTGAGGGTGATCCTTTCTGAGGTGCATGGTGGGTTTGGTTGGTCTTTCCTGTGACACCCTGCATGGTTCGTTGGTGTGTGTATGTTGTTGATTTCATCACCATTTGTAGTGCATTGTTCGTGATTCAGTCATTCAAGGAGTCCATCAGGCACGGGCCAAGAGGCTGGAGGCAGACACGACGGCACGACGTGGGAAACCTTCGCAGTGAGGAAGAGTGTCAGCGAAGACACCAAAAGCTTTGAGCCCGAAGTGCTGAAGGCCAAGGCGACCCGGTCCGCGGCGGCGAAGCGAGTGGCATCGGCACCAGGGCATCGGCAGGTGATGTGTTTTGGATGGACGAAAAGGCAGAGACTTGGTCACAGGCTGGTCAGATCGAGGTACTTGTAGCCTAGAAGTCATAATATGAAGTCATTAGAAGTTCAAAGATGAGATGTGTTTTACTTGGTGAAGTAAAGGAAACTCCCGAAATCAGGTCCCCGTTCTTCAGACCATGTTCATCGTCGCGAGGATTTGTGGGCAAACAACATGAAACGACCACCTTTGTTTGGTCGCCATCTGTCAAACCACGCTCATCGGACAAAACACACGTTGAACAGACGAATGCATTATGAACAGAAAGTATGGTTTTGCCAAGAGTAACTAAAACAAAAAGTGTCCGGTCCGTCCCCGGTCAGTGGTTTCTTGGTCGATAGAGTTGCGTCTTTCCAAACCTTCTGTTTTTTTGGGGGGCGGAAACGAAGTTCGAGATGAGTCAACATCCATTCCCAGACGCTCCATGGGACTGCCATATATGCCGATCAGTTGGGGTGGTGCCAGGGGGGTCAATGTAGGCATACATATATGGCATACATGGAGTGTATGGGATTGGGTTAAACTTATTTCTCCGGCCTTCCTGATGTGTGCGGATGTTCCTAGGCTAAAAGGAAGAACTGGCGGGCAAGCCAAGTGCCTTCACTGGTCTGGGTTTTGCAATTCATGGCTCCCTCTTTATGGAACCATGAATTCCACTGCATCACCCTCGAATGTACCATGTTCTACGTAAATCTATTTTGCTGCTCCAACTGACAGGGACTTCAAGGACCCGGGTGGAAACGCCACTCGCGCCCCTCCATGGATGTTTTTCGAGGCCAATGCCAGCGCGGCCGGCGATGCTGCGGTGGAGACCTACAATGTGACCCGGCACCGAGCGGCGCGCGGGGCGAGGGATCCGGCAAACCGGGTTTGTCCTTCGTAGACGACGACGGGGACGGGAGGGGTCCGTCCACGTGAGGGAGTTCGGAGCGTTCAGGGCTTTGGACCCCGAGTCGTGTGGAAAAAGCCCAGGTGTTGTGGTTCTTTGTGCGAGCAGAGGGAGTAGAATTTTAAACATGATTTGATGAGGAGCACAGATGAGTACAAGCAACTCTCGAAATTTGTGCCATTGATTCTAACATGTCTGTAGTCTTTAGCTTCCCCAGGGATCCTTGTTGGAGAAAAATATTAGTTGCAGCAGGTGTTTCTTTTGCCAGTGTGTTAGGGGTGGACGATTCTCTAGCTGTGCCAAAACACCCTGTATGGAATCGAAGCCACCTCGCAGAAAAGGAAGTTTGTCGTATACCAGAATTCTTGAGAATTGGATAGAATTCTTTGAACACATGTGGAGTCATTCTACTGACATGATATGTATATATATATATAATGATCCTTTATTTCGTCTTCTGACTGGTGCGTCGAAAGCGGGGAATGAGGGTGGCTGGATCCAATCTCTACTCTTGGGGGCGAGCTCCTTCCCGTAACTTCCCTACTTTCGTCGCACCAGTCAGTCTTCATTGGTATCATCCAGAGCCAGGACTCCACCGGAGCGACCTTTGGCAGAACAGGGAAATGCCAGCAGAGCTTGCAACAGAGGAAGAACCCCAGCATGGCATCGCATAGGTACCCGGTAGGTACCCCATGTGACTGGCCCCCTATCACATCAGGTCATCCAGAACTTCCGGAACTTGACTGAGCTACCCGCCAGCAGTCACCATGGCGGCCACCGTGATCCAAGTAGACTTCTCAAAGGGAGACCATGAGTCATAAATTGGACTCAGCCTGACCAGGGCTCACCTTCACCGGTTCCCGAGTGTGCCCAGGTCTTCAAAAAAGCCAAGGCGCAATCTCGCAAGGCGTGGCAAAACCCGCAGGAGAATCAGATCCACTGGAGAATTCTTTTGAACTTTGGAGAAGGGGAGTCAGATCTCACGTGGAACCCACGGCTTCCGTGGCAGGGACCCATGCGGTGAGAGTTCGGTTGACCTGGTGGTTCCTGGTTTGGTGGTCTAAAAATGTCTATAAAAAATCCTATAAAGTGATAACAACAAAACATGTCTAAATTAATCATAGTTCTAGACATCTATCTAAACATATAGTTCTAGACACATCTAAATGCTTTTGAAAGGAACACGTTTGTTCCACCTTTGCTCGGCTTGTTCGACGTCTTGCTCGGGCGAGACTCGAGACGTCGGAGACGTCGTCGTCGTCACGCATGGAGAGACCAGGACATCGGGAGTCCACACAGAGGGCTCCAAGTGTTTGAGCATGTTTGTTTCACCAATTCCAACAGAGGTGGGTCAGAACCTGCAGGTTTTCCGGGTCTATCCTTGTATAGACTGTGACGGGTCCCGCAGGAGACACTTGCAGGTCCGCAGGTTCAGGTCCTGAAAAACCTCTGCTGGTAAGGAGTTTCGCTTTGTTGGAGCATCATGTTAAGTTTCATTGTGCTGAGCTCTGGAGATCTGCTTCTTCCCAGTCTGTGACGTCAGCCTGTCAGGGTATGATCCACTCGGATAGACTCGGGGGCCGGTTCACACCAAAGAGACGCTAAAAGGACACGCTCAAAGGACAGGAACCTACTGCCCCAGAGGGCACCTGATGTGGTGGACTTCTTTTTCAACGTGATGTACGAAGTCTTGTAAACTGCATCGACGTGGGCCACGTATGCGAAACACCAGTGTTTGACCATTTGGGGCACCACCCAAGTGTTCAGGAAATTCCCGAAAGACTGTTTAAGAATGGTCTTGGACTCCAGGGTATAGTCTTTAGATGTTTTTAGACTTCGACACCAGGCCAGTTTCGACACCACCTTCCACCCATTGGAATTCACCAATTCCGACCAAAATGTTGGGAGAAACAGCCGAACACATGTGGTTCGTTGGAAGGTCCATCCTTCAAAATACACGGTGCCCGTCCTTCAAAACAGGTGGACTCCCCGAGACACGCAGGACCCGATGGACCCGGTGAACACAGGAGGAAGAACCCTTCTTCCGACCCAACAGGACCCTTGTTCCCGACAGGAGTGAAAAGGAGCATGTGAAAAACATGGGAAAAATGCTGCTGTTGTAGTGTAAAACGTTGGAAAGGTGTACCTGAATCTGAAAAAAACGGTGGACCAGCTGCCTTTTCCCATCGTTTTCATGCATTCCCCCTACAGCCACGAACTAGGCAGACATTGGGCATCGGTTGGAAGATCCAGGGTTTTCCATGCCTGGTCCAGCACCAATCCAGCACCAATCCCAGCTGATGCACGTCAGGTCCGGGCGGAGACCAGGGACCTCGCTCGGACGCCGCTCGGTGAAGCGGAACCGGTGCTGCGCCTGGTGGGGACGCAGGTGCTGCGGTGGGAAGAAGGCATGGCCACCGGAAGCAACAGAGGGTTTTTCAGAAGCCTAGTTCGACTATCCATGACTATCCCATACCCATACCCCAGTATGGTCATCAAAACCGTCACTTAGCCTCTCTTGGAGTACCCTCGCTGTTCAGGGTCGTGGATTGAAGGTTTGGATGGCCTGAGATGGCATCGGTGGAAGGGGCGGATGGCACGGATGCTGAAAGTTGGAGTGAAAGGTGGCTCTTTGAGAAGTGTCAGCGTGATGTGACGAGAACCCTCAGTTTGGGGAACGATGACCTGGTGATCAATTTGATCCAAAGCTTGGTGTTAAAGTCTCCTGGGTTGACCGCGCGGTGAGTTTTACATGTTACATGGCATTTTTGTCGTCGATGCCTCGGAGAAAACGACGCCACTGTTGGCCACTGGAAAAGTGAAACTTAAACGGACTTGAAAGCGTTACAGGTTTCTTGGATGTGTGTCGGAGCATCCACACCCCTTCTCAAAGTTGTTGTTGTCGTCCCCTGCTTTTTTACCGACCCCCCAGAACAACATTCTAACAACAGTAGCAACAGACCAGTCCAGACTCTAGTGAAGCAAGAGTCGAACAAGTCCAGCTACTTGCGAAGCCAAATAACATTCCCTCAAACCTTCAACCGAGTTACTGCATGTGACAACTATGTTGGGCGGCTGTGTTGCTACTGACGACGACGACGACGACGACGACGACCACAACAACAACAACAACAACAACAACAACAACAACAACAACAACAACA